GAGAGAGAGAGAGAGTCACCTGTTAAATTAATTAGATTAATGGGCTCGAATTGGGCCTGAAGGGAGTCTTATCTGATTGTGATATGTGAGGCTATCTCTTTTTATTAAATATCTAATGAATACCAAGGGATTGTATTTTATGAGACCATGTATTCTTGTTACAAGGAGATCACGATTGCTATTGACCACTAGATGTCAATTTCATGATTTGGGTATGTCACAGAGTATATTTTTTTTTTAGAAATTTTTTGTTTAGTAAAAAAATCTAATGTACAAAAATGATTGTGGCCTCTTTGCATAAAAAGTAAATCTCCCCTCTATATACTTTTCCTAAAAGAAATAAAATAGGGGCTTGTGATGTTATGATGCTATTTTATGCAAAGGTGGTTTTCATCATAATGTGGTGCTCCACACATATGATGTCTCTTTGCCATGACTTGGCCATTTGTTCATTGTCTTTTTTTGATAAGTTAGGCATTATTTAATTGTCCCCACCTGTTGGTTTGAGACCTTTTTATTTGTTTTTTTTTTTTTGGGTAAATAAATTGGTGTAAAATTTACCTGTCTTTCCTCTTACAATTTCTCAAAATTTGGGGTTGCACAATAATGAAGGGGAGTCAAAAGCAAACAAGTGGAAAAAGCAAACAAGTCCTGCCGTGGCACAATAATGAAGGGGAGTCAAAAGCAAACAAGTCCTGCCGTTACCTTGCAGTAAACATTGTTTCCATTTTATAATGGAAAAGGCTTGCGTAATTCTGTGGGTCTTTTAAAACTGCAGACCAAATTTTATTAGACAATGTTATGCTTGTCATATGATCGCAACCTTGACAATCACATATTTTCTTTAAAATGGATGTCAGAAAATAGTGCATCTTGTAAAACATTACATAATCCTTTGTTTAAAAATGGATGTCAGAAAATAGTGCATCTTGTAAAACATTACATAATCCATCTCTAAGATGGTACATCTTGTAAAACATTATATGATCCATCTTTGTCCGCCAATTATATACTACTTTAGAGTTTTTTAATTTCATAATCACCAGGTAGAAATAGGTTTTGAGGCTATCATAAGAGTTTCATCAAAATTTCATTTCTTATGGTGTGCAAATTTACTAAGGTTTTGAGGTGCGGCCTTATTGTAAGGGTGAGGTTTGTTTATGGTGTCCAATTTATTCAAGTCATATGTATTATTCAATTTTGCCGATAGATCTAATTCCAGCATTGGAAACCTTACGATGGCTTGAAAATCCATATTCAACCGTAATTATGAAATTCAAAAGTTCCAAAAAACGTTATGAATTTAGATCTATGAACGTTTCAAAATCTTGAAAATAGACAGTCCGGATGACTTATTACAAGAGGAACTATTCTTGGACTTGAAATTATTATTTTTTCTTTATATCATACATTTCAAGGTCGAGATGATTAATTGGAAGTTTTTTTAACCTCAAAATACTCTGTTCTACTGGATTTTTGAGGTGTACTTTAATTCTATGGTATAATGTTGAAACCTTATCCCCCTTTTGGACTGAGTTACATTTTATGTACCATGTTTTACTACCCTCACTGATGTACATTTCCCTAAAGATTATACAAAAAAAGTGGGAGATACACTGTTGACTATGGATTAACATATCCTTGTGACTCATGCATGAATCAATAAACAAGTTATCTTGTGATTTAACTGAACACCAAACTTAACCAATAAACAATTATTTATTCACACCCACTTATTTTAATCAGAGCAGCTTGATCTGATCTAGGTGCCCTTTTATATCAAGAGGGTGGTCCTCAACCCTATTCCTCTCAGGTTGCACCCATCTCCCATGAGGCCCCTTGACCATACCCTTGTTCCTCTCTTGCCTCCAATTTGGTGGAACCATGTGATGCTCCTTCAAAAAATCACTTGCCTTGTTGACAAGAGCAGGGTCTCTGCCACTAGCCAATACAAACCTCTGCCCCCTTCCATGGTAGCCATCTAGCAGGTGCAGGTGAGCCTCCAAGTTATGGTAGCAGCTTGGGTCTCCAGTTTCCTTTAAAAAAGGCGATCTTCGGTGGTCGAGTGTGAGCTCGACTCCGACATGAGCATAGCTCCATGGTAAGCCATCTGTGAGTGCTTGTGGTACTTGCACGTGCTCGTTGATGAGAAAGCCCGGCACCTTGTAGAAACAAGGGCAAATGAAGATTCCCACAAAGAAGAAAGAGTTAGGCCATGATCTAGGCCAGAGAGACAGGAAGCTTGTGGTGAAAAACTATGTAGAATGCTTTTTTTGCTAGAGAAAGTACAGTTTGTTCCATTGAAACACTATGTAGCATGTTTTTTAGCTTGAGAAAGTACAGTTTGATCCATAAACTTATGGGAATAATATGCCATGGGAGGCATCACCATCCAATCAATGAGTTTCGACAGTGATGATACGGCGATGTACTCCTAAAGTCATTGCTCCTTTAGTGGGATCCGTTCCGATCCTCATCACCATCCACCACATCTATAAAATGATCATAACCCCTATGATAATACTGTTACCAGAATCATATACTCTCCCACTTGCATTACAATCTTTTGCTTTGTGATTCAACAAGTGGTATCAGAGCTTTTAACTTACCTTAGGCACAGTGTCATGCACATTTACGACGCGGAGCACGTGGACACCGAGCTCCTCGCACCGCTTTGCGAAGTGCCTGTTGCCTACTCGTGGTGCAGCAAAGGAGAAGACAGTAATCAGAGCGCGTGTGCCGTCAAGCCGCAGGTTGAGCCCGGATTCTGCTATGTCATAGGCACTGAGCAGGGCTAGTGCACCTCCAAGGCTGTGGCCAGTGACTGTGATGCTCAGCTCCGGCTCATCTTTGTATCTTTCCATGAGACGACGCACCTCAGAAAGCACCTGCAACAGGTCTAATAAATGGTATTATGCCCGCTACGAGGATTGCTACATTTATTTGAAACTATTTTGTCTGTGAATTTGTTTTTTTTTTATTTTTTGGGTAATTCAGTGGTTTGAAATTATTGTCTAAGAATTGTTTTTTTTTTTTTTAGGTAATTCAGTGGAGAAGAGAGGCCTATCCATTTCTTCAAATAGATTATTCAGATAGATCAGGTAGTTAGTTTTTTTTTTTTGAAGGTGTCTTGTAAATAGGATTGAAAACCAAAATATAGTAACTAGGTAATGAGAAGTTTTATAAATAAGTAATTACCATTTTAATCACCACCCACCTGCTCGCGTGCCGAGTATTTACTGAACCGGCAAGCGGGGTCTTTGCTCAAGTACAGATCCAAAAACCCAGACTCCACCTTCACCAAGCGGTCTCCATGGCTCAGCCCGACAGGCTTGAGGCAGTCCATTAGGTCTGCGATCCACTCTAGTCTCGTCACTGTCCCACGCCAGGCGACCACGATATCACGTCTTCCAAGCTCACTCTTTCCGGTATCGATCCCATCCTTACCACCAGCACTGGCAACATAGCCAATCCAGTTTGCCGCTGTGCTCCAAGTCCTGGGCCACTGTGATCGTCGAAAGAAGTTACGAAGGTTTGGATTGGAAGTTGCATATAAATAACGAGTGACTTCATAAGAACAGTGATTATCGAGAGTGAGTTCCTCAAAGAAATGTCGTCGGTTGTGTCTGCAACTTCCACAGTAGCGGGAGAAGGGATCATAGTCGAAGGCATCATAGCATGCCTGTGCATGCTCGCCATAGCGGATGAGCTCGCTTCGTAGGAGGGGGTCCATGGGTTCGAGAAGGCCTGTCCAGTGGTTCTCACCCTGTATCTCTCTCCACCTCTCTGATAGCTTGCCTACTTTATCTCCTTCTTGTGCCAATTCTTCCATCTCTTCCTCTTGTTCTTCTCTCTCTTGGCCTTCTTGTGTTTTTTCTTGTTTTTGGGGGAGGGCGGTGGTTGTGGTGGAGAGAGAATCATCAAGGCCTGGTACTGCTCTTGCTACTGATGAGCTGATTCTGGAGATGGATTTGTAGATTATTTTCTTGGCCATGGATGAGGATGGTGGGCTTGTGGTGGATGTGAGATGCAGGAATTGGGTTGAGAGGATTCTTTTGGTGGAGATGGGTTTGTGCTGGTTGTCATGTGATGCTTGTTTTAGAGAGGGGTTGGGGAGAGTGAGCGCCATGGATTTGAGAGAGAGAGAGAGAGAGAGAGAGAGAGAGAGAGTTGTTGCCTTTTGGTATGGCTGCAATGGTGGGTTGGGGTGATTTAATATGGGGAAGACTTCGTGGAAGATGGAATACTAGCAAATTAAAATTCAGGAAAATTCAAGTAATTCTAGAGATGGCCTACAAAATTTTATATGGGAAAGTATATAATAGCATCTTACTTTTAGTACAAGATGATTGTATTGATCCTTTTAGCCATTGGATTCAAAATCGATATTAAGAATGTGCCATTGACAACTTATCAACAGAGTTGTTTGAACCTTGTGGTATCTCCCTAGTCATCTAATTTTGTATCAGTGGGCTTAGAATGGCTTGACCTCTTACAAAATTAGTAGTCTTATTACTTGCCAAATCTCACCCACAGCCACCTTATTTTACTAATAAAAAAATTTTTTTTAAAAAAAAAAAAAAAGAGGAAGAAATAAAGGAAAAAGAAAAGAAGAAGAAAAGAGTAATGCGGCATTGTAAAAAATAATAACCTTACAGTATATACAATTCAGATGTATTGAAAAAGAAATTGAGAAAGCCTATGACACTCTATTGAGATTATGCTACGTGTAATTCTTGTCCATCGGTTTCTATGACGAACGGCCGAGATGAAATGTTGACTTCAAGACAAAATTTTAATTCCATTGTCCTTTCTTTGTAATGGACATTTAAAAAAGAAAAAAATATTGAAATAGACCATTTACTTATAACACAAGGAGGTTACATTCTTTTTTGTCCTTTTGATTTAAAATCGGATAGTTGTGAGCATTGTTATTGACCATATTCAAAGTTAAAAAAAGAATTCTTGATCTTCTTATCATACCCGAAACCATCTAATTTGATTCTTATAATTGTTACCTCTTTGTAAAAAAGATAAATAATGCCGTAGCATACAATCCCAATAACGAAATTCCAATTAAAAAATTCCATGGATATCTCTATAAACCAAAAGCAATCCCTAAGTACTGATAAAAGATGAATAATTTAAACAAGTCAACCATGTCCCAAGTAAAATAAATATTGAATGGGACCAAACTTTAAAGTTATCACACACAAACCGAAGTAGACAGACAATTAAGATAAACAAGTGCCAAGTAGGAGGCATGGGTTGGGAGTAGGGTTAAAAGTTCGGTTAAAAGTTTCTTGGACCTGAAGCTTTTTTCATTTTATACTTTGTCAAAGATTGTATGTTCCCGTGGGTGTACACTCCCTCGAGTTACCTCATCGACTTAGTAACTAGGGGTGGCAATGGGGTGGGTATGGGTCACGTCCGGCTGGACCCGGACTTGAACTTGAATAGTATTTTGGTCCAAAATTTGAACCGGTACCCAGACTGATCGGGTTCTGGGTCTGGTCGGATCCATTGCAACCCTTTGACTATGAGCTTTGGTTTTTTTTTTTTACCATTATATAGCCTATGCCTATGAGTTTTTTATTATTATTATTTAATAATACTATAAATATTGCGACAATATGAACACCTAGCTTGCACCTAAAGATACATGATGGCCATCATATGCCCCTATGACTTCGGGTATGGGTTGGCTACTTTAGGTAAAAAATTTGGAACCATATTCAGACCTGAGATCGAGTATACCCGTCAGTTCCTGGGTCTAATCAGGTCCATTGTGATCCCTACTAGTTGTTAGAATTTTAGGGAACATAGAATGGAAAATTGAGATAGAAGAAAAGAGAACATAATGTTTACGTGGTTCAGGCCAAAGCCTTACATCCACTGATCCAAAACCCCATCCAGCTATATCTTCACTATATTGGATGAATGTTTACATCAATAAGTTCCTTTTTATATAGAGGACAATCACATAATTAGAAGAGATAATTATGGTTTGATAACTTGATGACCAAGTAACTTAGTCTCAATCTTCCAGATATCTAACTTTATCAAGAGATATGTACATATACATCCATAGTGATGTATATCAATATGAACCCAAGATATCTATATCCCAACACTAGTAACCAACTTCGAAAAAAAAAAGAAACGAAAAAAAAACTCTGCATGCACATTGTAAGATTGAATGGAGATTATTTAATTTTGATCTTAGACACTCAATTCCAATTTTTTTTGAATTCTTATTTGAGGATAAGTTGAGTTTTATTGGAGAGAGTAAATATACACTGTACTACCGTAGAAACACACTATATGCTCTTATTCTAGACATCAAAGTCCAAGATTGCCCTTTATTTATGCTGGCCCATTCTATTATTATACTAGATCATGGCACATGCATTACGGACCCCCACGTCGAGATAAAAGACAAAACATATTTTTAAATGTTTTTATTGGTAAATTAAATTTTTTTATATTAGTAAGCCATTAAATATTACTTGTTGTAATGTTCTACTAAGTTTTTTTTTCTAAATTTTGTTCTTAAGTTTTTATTGGATAAACAAAATACTCAGACATTCTTATCTTTGGTTAGAATAATGAACATATAAACCCCCTTCTAAATTTTCATGAAGTTTTTCTTTTCCTTTTCACCCCTATTTCTTCTCTAATTGAATATTTTTTAAAGATCAATAGGATAAAGCATAAGTTCTAAAAGAGAGATCCACACAAAATCTTCTTCTTTTTGACTTATGTCATTAGATTGAGATTACTAATTAAAGATATTTTAAGTAAAGAGATTCTAGGGTTTACAATTTAAAAGAAGAGAAAGAAAACAAAGAGATTTTAAGAAAATTGGAGGTACAAATACGAGTGAAGAATTTATCTGCCACTCCTATATGTAGAAAGAGGCCACATCTCAAATATTTGCAAACATTGTTATTTTGGTGCTAGAAAGTATCAATTAGTGTTCATAAAATTGACTCAGAATGGTTAACTAGACATGGGTCTGGAAGTGGTTTAACCGGCCTAACTAGTAAACCGGCTGATTCAACCGTTCTAACTAGGTAAGTCCTCCCGGGAGGTCAAAAAAGTGTTGAAAAAGCTAAAAAAAAATATAAAAAAAAATCTACGAAAATATGAAAAGTATATAAAGAATGATTAAAACAAAACAAATTCAAATGAAGTAAAAAATTAATGAAAAAATAGATTTTAACGTATTTTATATTTTCCAAGGTCTATTTTTAAATTTTTTTAAAAAAGATAGGATAAATATAAAAGTTAGTATTAATGACCAATATTTTTTTTTTTAAATTTACCATCATAATTTAAATTATATTTAAAAATGTATTACAAATCAAATTCCTTATATTTGAGAATTTATATACATTTTTTTTGAATATATATATATATTTTTAAATACCGGTTGATCACCCTAGCCTCCCAAAACCGGAACTGGCCAGTGGCCAGTTCCGATCTAACCTGGCGGTTAGTGGTTAGATCGAGTGATTTTACGAATAATGGCATCAACCAACTATGTAACCAGAAAAGAAATATTTTAAACCCTAAAAATAATTTATCTTGTAGCGTATTATTTGAAATTCCATTTTCAAGTATTCACAATGGTCATCCATGTACCCTTCTTTGAACTTCAAATTTTATGACAAGGGTCAAAAGTAGCATTTTTTTTACCTATGTCGAAACTACATTTTTTATAAAAAACTATGAGAAGTCGGTAGAGTCACGAAAAACCGTGGCTTTTTTAGTGAGTGTATCGACCACCAAATTAGCCTCATGATAGATATGTGAAATATACCACTCACGTTCAGTAAGTCTCTACCTGCAATTGGCATCAACAATGTGAAGACGTCATGGGGCCTTGCATCTATCTCGAATAAGAAGAGATGAATCACTTTCAATTTGTAGAGGAAGCAGTCTAACTCGATGGCAAGATCCACTCCAACTTGAAAAAAATGAAATTCAGCATAAAATATGATGCAACTCCAAGGGGTTGTACAAATGCAGCAATAAAAAAACCATCTTCACCTCTAATGATCCCAACTCCACCTGCCCTTCCTGATTTTGTAGAGAAGCTCCATCAACATTGAGTTTGAAATGGCTTGGGCGAGGAAATGACCATGCAATTGGGATAAAAGATTTCATCTTCTCTTGCCACCAAGTGATGCGAAGATTATTTGTTATGGCTTTTTCGGATACATGAAAATCCTAGTTGTGAAGAAGAGAGAATGCCATAGCTTAAGCAGACCCACTGATTTGAACCTATAGGAAATCCAAGTTCTTAATATAAATGCAATAGGTTAGGTTGAGTCATGAAATTGTTTGCCACAACTCCATGCAAGGGATTTCTAAATACCCTACGAGAACGAGTATTAAAATAATAGGTGGCAGATATCATCATCATTTGATTAGCAAAAGGGGCATACTTTTGCCATGGTGATTCCTCTCAATTGTAATAGGGAGGTAGTGCGGAGGCGTTGATGGAGAGCCAACTAAGAAAACAATTTTGCAATGGGATGGCAATGAGATGCCCATATAGATATGAAAATTGGTTGAGGGGTGCCCCGACATCGAATATGATCCCATGCACCTTTGACGGAGAACAAACCGTTGGTAGAATGGATCCATACTAAGAAATCACTCTAGGGGGTGTAAGGGAAGTGTGAAGGTCGCAATCTCTCTCAAAGCTTAGATGAGGGGGGCCAGATGTAGGAGTAGGGAGACTCCATACCTTAGGCAGCCCTTGCAAATAGTATGCCTAGATCATTATGTATCTGACCGCCATAAGATTCCCATTAAGATTGGTTAGATAGCCATGGGACCATCCCTGATTATCCATCTAACATTATGATGAATATAGGATAACCCTACTGGGATGCACTTCCACACATAAGAACAATTCCTCGTCCTATAGATGAGTCCTTAAATATATGTGCTTGAAAGAATACGATATGAGGAAAGAAGGGTTAGTAACAACTCTCCAGGCTAATTTCATTATGGCATCAATATTGAATTTTGATATCTCACGAATACTAAGTCCCCCCTATGAAGTAGTAAGACAAACATTCTTCCATTTCACCAAGTGAATTTCTTTTTTCCCAACTGAACTTCCCATAGAAAATTTCGTTGCAACCTCTCTACTGCATTACATGTGCGCTTGTGTAGGATAAAAGATAGGATCCAAAAAGTCCCTTAAGAGTCAAGAACAGGTTTTCATAGCTGTAAACGGCCTACATAAGAGAGATACAAGGCTTGCCAAGTCCCAATCTTGCCAATGATGTTTCCCACCAAGCTAGTGCAGTGATTATGTTTAAGTTCTCATGAAATAGTGGCAATCTCAGATATTGTACTGGCGGGAAAC